TAATAGAAAACTGTTACGAGAATAGATTGCCAAGCAAGCCCTATATTACCTTATATTGTGCTATAGCATATTGTTGATTTGTTTTATTTTAGTTAGTTTATTTTATTTTACTATCAATCTCAATGCTATTTTTCATCAATATTAAGTTGACCGTAAACCAAATGGAGTGTAATTTTGGGTTAGCGTGAGTATATATACTCCCCACCCTCCCCCCCAAAAAAAAATATTCCTATTGGCATAATCAAATTCATTCTCTGTAGGATCAATTTTGGTTGATGCTTCATCTAAAACAAAAAGAGCACCAAAACAGTGCTGCTAGGAAACAACAAACAATACACTTACAACTTCATTGTGTACACAATTTATTTATCAGATTAAGACATTGAAAACCACAGCACAATTCTCTCTGCTGTATGCCAACAACGAATAACAACAAAAAGGGAAAAAAGGCCCAAAAATGATCTCACAAAAGCCTAGTAATTTTCCTACACATAATCTTCACACTTCTTTCCAAAAGCCTTGCATTTGTATGGTTACTTTTTCTTTCAGATATTGAACCCAAATTGAAGAAAAACAAAGCTCAAACAATACACTTAATCTTCACACTTGCAGCTCAAAGTGCACCAAACAGTACTACGAGGAGAACACAAACAATACACTTAAACCTTCATTGTATCCACAATTTATTTATCAGATTAAGATAATGAAAACCACAGCACAATTCTCTCTCCTTCATGCCAACAAAGAATAACAACGAATGGAAAAAAGGCCCAAAAATGATCTCACAAAAGCCTAGTAATTTTCCTACACATAATCTTCACACTTCTTTCCAAAAGCCTTGTATTGGTATGATTACTTTTTCTTTCAGAGACTGAACCCAAATTAAAGAAAACCAAAACCAAAACCAAAGCCAAACCTCCTGCAAATCAATGTGTCAACTTAATGAAGGTGGAATTTTTTCAGTATCTGTTATCAAATTCTCTAGTAAACACTTAAAAAAATTATATACCTAAATTTTGTCCAATAATTAATCAGTTTAGGTACTGCGAGCTAGCCTCTCATGGAATTCAAGCAAAGACCTCTCTTTCTGAAGCTCAATGTCTTGGTGAAACTTCTTGATGAACTCTTCTGCTTTCTCATCCACCTGCAAATTTGGTGACTTAGCCACCACAACCTTCCATGCATCCTCTACACTATCTAACACATTGCTGCTCTATCCTTTTCCACCCAAATCCTTATTTCCTATTTCTGCTTTGCCTCTGCTTCTCATTTCCCCTTTAGCCGCATACCCAGAAGCAGAGAAAGAAAAAGACGACGACGAAGAAGAAGGCTCTGCAAAAAGGTCATCTATACGTGTGGCGCCGAAGTTCTTGCGCTGAACATGGTGTTGAGAAGAGGAGGAGTTGTAATAATAATAAGGTCTAGTGGGAAAAGAACGACGAGGAGGAGGAGGAGTTTTGTGGAGATGAGGTGACGCGGAGAATGGAAGGTGGAAACCAGGCCTTGAATTGTGGTTCTGATGATTCTGGGAATGTTGAGCTGATTGACTTTGGATTGGACTCTGTTGGAGAAGCTCGTCCATGCCTTCTTTGCTGGTTGAAGCTTCTTTGTCAGTCTTTAGGCGAGACATCAACGTTTTGGGAAGATATGAAAGAGATGATTATGATGATTCTGTGAATGAGTGAAGCTTTCTGAGGGGAAAAGAGAGATAGATGGAAAGGGAAGAAGATAAAGAGAAAGTTGAAGATGGTCCTTATGAAGCAAGCTTTCATGATGACCCGCTAGTTCTACAATTCCTTTCTTCATACCACTATCTCTCTCTCTCTCTTTTTTTTCCACCTAAAAACAACCCATACTATCCAAAATTTTCCAGGTACAGTTGTGTTATATATAAGTGAGCATGACAATATATCTCAACCCAAAATCTTAAGACATTGAGTTATGAGTCTTTTTTGCTTATATACCCCTTTTCTAATTGATGTGTGACTTTTTTCATATAATATGTCAAGCTAAGTCACACATCCTAACAATATGATATTGGTGTTTAATGTCACATGGCATCTTGTGTGTGTCGTATATGTATGGAGAAATACTTATCTTGTAGAATATCTTGCTAGCGCCCTGTTATGTTGCAAAGCTACACGAACTTTTTATACCGAATTGACACATTATTTTTCCACACAATCACAGAAATGCCACTAGTAGCTTTTCATATCAGCAAGATTTGAAACATAGAGCTAGTCATGGAGAGGAATGGCAAAACTTGCAAGTCATTAAATCTAAAAGGTCTAACTTTCCAAGTCAAAGCTAATCACTTTCGGCAAAATAGACAGCATAAAAAGCAAACTTGGGTGCAGCTCAAAGATGAATCCCGGCTTTTCCATGTGGATTGCCAGCACGCTACTTTTGGTTGAGTTCGTGTGGCCTCTAGTCCTATTTGTTTTCTCCTGTAAAGGCAATTTAAAATTCATTTTACATAATTGTGAAATAAACATTGCTTTTTTGTTGCCCTAGTTTTTTTTTTTGGTCATTTTCTTCGTTTCAATGAAAGTCTAAAAGGCGGGCTAATGCTTGATTAAATATCGGTGTCCGTGAGTCCTAATGATATGTGGTTAACCAATAATCTCAATTCAAGCCTTGTGTATGTAACTATATTAAATGCTTGATAGGAGAGTTCTTCATCCTCGTTATCCGTTCTGATTCGACCTGCATCTGCATTAGCAAGTGTCTGATGTGGCTACCAGATTGTGAGAATTTTAGCTATCATGGTGACGTGCTATGAAGCTCGTTTGGATTAGCTTCTTTCTAACAGATGTGTCAGGCCATGCACCAATTATTGGATAAGACGATGGCCCTATCCAACTTTATCCCCTCTTGTACTGCAGTTGTTGCTCTAGCATGCATGTGGGGAAATCAGTAACCTTGTTTTTTTGGGGATCATTTTCTCCGTTGGAATGAAAATCTAGAAGGTGGGCTAATGCTTTGATTAAATATCAGTGTCAGCAAGTCCTTATGATATATGCTTAGGTCACGCAGATTTCTTCTGCGCCGCATTTTTGCAAAAAAGTTGCAACTTGGTCGTCTTTGAAAGCAGCTTTGCCAACGGCCTTATAGCCTGATGGCATTGTAAGCTCTTCGATCAATAGTGCCTGCCCTTCTAACAAAAAAAAAAAAAAAAAAAAAAAAGAAAAGAAAAGAAAAGAAAAAAAGAAAGGAGCTTTGGCAAATAAATTACATTGCATGATTGGAGAATCAATAACAAAGTAGCCAACGACGGTTAATCAGATGGAATCAACATTGGTGATATACCTTCCCCAATGTCTTTGTCTATAGAAGTATTCCCTTTTTTATATTTCATTTGTTTGTTTTCTTGCCTGCATATTAAGTTTATATGTGCTTTTGGTTCTTTTAGTAAGAAAATTACTAAATACACACAGTACAATCAATCATAATTCAATTACTTAAATTTAATTTTTCTCATTAACAAAATAAATTAAATTTATTTAATTTTATTATTTTAGTTTTATTATATTTTTTCCTCAACATACTATTCAATGATTAAATAAAAAATTAACTTATAAGTTAATTGAAATTTCTCTTAACCTACAATTTAATAATTGATTTTATATTAACCACACTAAACTACGGGTGAGCAAAGATGAATTAAAATTGAAAATCGAATTGAATTTTTATTTTTTGATTCAGTTTTTTAACAAAATATTTTGATTGATCAGTTTAATTTAATTAATAAAATTTAAAATTAAATAGATCAAACCATCAGTTTAAAGCGCCAAAGGTGTCGCCCGATGATGAGTTCATTACACGCTCCAAAATTTTGCTACAAGTGAAGCGGATGCTGCTTCATGTGTCAAGATTTCATTACTTTGAAAAGGTCTCGCTAAGTACTTAGCTTAGTTGTATCTCACCAATGTTGAGATGTTAAGATTTTTATAATTTTGATTCAACTAAAGGTCTAGAAAATAGGAATTGCAAATGGTGCGCACTGAGTGCGCATCCTCCTCGTCCTCTATTTTAATTTAAATTGATTTCTTTCGTTTATTTAAATTAATTTTTTAAATATTTTTGATATTATATTTATTAATATAAAAAACATAAAAATTTTAAAATTTTAATACATCTTTTCATTATAAATCTGACCAGTACAGATTTAATCTAGTAGTTAAATTTAATATTAATTTTTTTATAATTTTATAATTTAACTATACAGATAAACTTTGTACATTTCATATATAATTTAGATAACTTAATTTAATATTAAAAATTTATAAATTTTACAAATTAACTATTTAAATATATTTTAATTAGTTCAAATTTAATATTAAATTTTTTTATATTTTTTATCTTAATAAATATAATATTAAAAATATTTAAAAATTAATTTATATAGATGACAATGATCAAATAAGGTTGAAATTGAGGGTCAATATTGCTCTTGACTCTCATGAGTATCGATGCTCATCACTACAATGAATACCAAGTGCGGGGAGTCAATTTCTTTCTTTTGAAAGAAGTTTCTTCTGCCTTTCCTTTGAGGCAGAGATAAATTTGAATTGTCCAGATTTAATTTAGACGGTCTAGATTTAATATTTTTATTTTTTATTTTTTAGTTATATTTTTAAAATAAAAAATATATAAAAATTAGAAAAAAAACTTAATAAATATATTGATCAATCTCACTGTTCATATTTAACATAAATGATTCAAATTTAATATAAAAATATTAAATTAATTTTTCAGATATATTTTAGGTAATGTAAATATATTTTGAACAGAACAGTAAATTTATTAAAAAATTTTAATATTAATTTTAGACTATTTATATTAAATTTAAATTATTAGATTGATAAATATATTTACTAAATTTTTTTATAATTTTTATATATTTTTATTTAAAAAATATAAATAAAAAATAAAAATATTAAATTTAAAAAGTTCAGATTAATTCTGAATAATTCAAATTAAGTCTCCACCTCAAGGGAGGCGAATCCGTTCCGTTATTGCCCTAAGCTCTAGCTATCTCCTCTCTTCCTTACGGCTACCCAGCTTGGCTCCCATCGGTGACAACAGAGCTCGACAGTAGAGGTTGAAGCCGACGGCAAAGCGATCGAGGTGGGCTATGGACCCGCATGGCAGCGGACCAAAAAAGCCGGCATCGGAACGGCCTCCTCCTCGACCTCGTCCAGGGCGTCCCACATCTGGAGGGAAACCCATATCCTCCACTGTACGGACACTGGAACCGACAAAACCAATTTCTTATTTAGATTGATCTAAATCTAATCGTCTTTGATTTCCTCTTCAATCTCGAGATCGAACATTGATGCATTTTTCTTCAATTTCTGACTTTGTTGCATCTCCAGATCTATTCGTTGATTGCTGGCTCATTTTGTTCGATTTGTTCAGCTGCGGCTATGGATGAATTTTGTTTTGTCTTTATTTGTTTTTTTTTTTTGCGGTTTTCGATATGAATATGTTGGTATGGGTGGCCGAAGGTTTGGCTTTAATATCAATCTCTGAATCCTTTGTTTTGAATTCTGTCGGTGTGCATTGAGATGGGATCGAATTGATATTATATTAGCCTTTGTTTTGAATTAAGAGTTATATTATTGTTTGATTTTCTTTAATAATTTGATTCGGAGATTGGATCGAATTGAGCTGCCCTGAATTGGTCTTTGAGGGTTCGGGTGTGGGTTGCCGGACGTTTGAGATCTGATGGGTGGTGGCCAGTTTGATTTTTTATTTTATTTTATGAGTATTTTGATCTTCTCGAAATAGTAAATCATTTTTTTTTATTTCACTTTATACTTACTCTGTGGTTACATTTTACAGCCGGCAAACACGAAGGGAAAGAAGGAGAGCCGCTAAGCATTAAAAGGACATGTTTGTATACTTCTTTCCCTTTCTGTTGTTTTGTACCAAATTGTATATATTTATGTCAACTTAGGTTCATATGTTATTTTGTTTTCACTTATATGAGTATTGTTGTAAACTGTGAGTATCTCAACCTGAAATGTTATAATTGTAATGTAATGGTTATGAGAGGTCGAGATGTTAGTGTAAGTTGATTTTATGTTAATTGGTGTATTTGTTTGGCCATGTGTATGATTAAGGAATTGTTGCCACCCCTCTTTGGATTATGCTAATTTGGAATTTGGATGATCAATTTGTGTTTGAAATGTTATTGTTGTGGTTTAATTGTGCAAACAGCTTATTTGTAGTTCATTTGAGTTTGTTCAAGTGGTACCACAGCTATTAGCACTTGATATGTGAGTTTGAACATTTTGATTGTTGTTTTGGAAAGAAAAGGTATTATTTTGAGTCTGGGTGTCTAACTTTCAATTGGTTTAAAATTTGGGTGAGACTGGTGCCAATAGTTAGGTGGCTCAAAGAGCTAGGTGTGGACATTTAATCACTTGAATCGAATGTCGGATGACAAAATGATGCACTTCAAAAGTTAGCCTGAAGTGCTATTATCATAGTAGTTTGCTAGGGATGCGATGTGGCTTATGACAGTCATGTTGTGGTGCACTACACAGATAAGGACATAGTCCCTCTGTACCATCCACCGTGGTATGTGAGGCTTGCACTGCAGCGGATGAAGCAAATTTATGAAATTTTTTAGACTTTCCCTAATTTATACTATTTGATTATATCAATTAACTGTTTATGAGTGTGTGTGTGTGTGTGTGTATATATATGTTTTCTACGTGTGATTTTGAAGCATCGCATATTGTAATATGATTTTGTGCATGTGAAATGATTTTCAAACATTGAAGATTATTAAAGTTTTATATGAAATTAATGAGAATTGAATATGAATATGTATTATGTATGAAATGTGTGAGCATGATCATGATAGGGGGTGGGAGTTCATCCATAAGAAAGAGTAGTGAAAATTCATATGACATGTATTTCTTTAGTGCCTTGTGGGGCAGAGTGTTGGAGATTATCTCTTTAATATCTATGTGGGATACGGTATTGGAGATTGACGCTCATTAGCATCGATGATGTGGTGTTGGAGTAACGACACCCTAACTCATGTGCGATAGGGGGAGATTATAGTTCGAAAGTGGGATAAGACACTTTTGACCGGGTTATCCTACCACTGAAGGTGAGCTCAGACTATTGTGAATGTGCACTTGGTCCAAAACTTTATAGTTTCAGTTGGGGTGATATGGAAGCTTAGATGGTAGAATGATCCTGTTAGAGTGGAGATGAATCATGGGGATTGAAAAGATTATGTAGATTGTACTAAAGGCATGTTTTTGTGTATATTAGCTTTACTCCTAATGGTTGTGCATGTTAATTAATAATAGTGAATTATTCTGTTACTGAGATGTTCATCTCACCCTGTGGTTATATTTTACACAGGTGAGGGCTTCAATAAGAGTAAAGGGAAGAAAGGCATTGTCGAGGACTGAGGGCTACATTTGTATAGCTCTCTTCATTGTTATTTTGGGTTTGTAACGAATATGTTAAGCTATTATGCTAACTTAAGAGTATTCCATTTGTTTTGTCCTCACTTGTATGAGGATTTGCGAAATGTGTGCGTATCTTAGCCTAGCATTGATGTTATAGTGGTTAAATGAGTGTGTTAGGTTAAGATATTAATATAAGTGATGTTATAGTAAGATGGTGTGTATGAAAATGACCAAAAGAATAATTATGTTGAAATTTGATCTACCCCATTGTATTGTTGAGAATTGGGGGTTTGATGATTATTTTGTGGGTGAAAGGTTATTAGTGTGATATTATTAGTTTTATATGTCGTGTATGGTCCATTTAAGTTGGTTAAAGTGGTTTCAAAGATAGTAGCACTAAGCTGTGGGTTTTGGATACCATTGGGTGTGTTTTGAAATGAAGATGAATCATTTTGGGTTTATGTATGTATCTTTTCAATGGTTTTGAATTTGAGTGTGAGATCGATATCATTAGTTAGAGGGCTCGAAAAGATTCATGTGAACATTTGAACCATTTAAATTATATGTCAGATGGCGAAACGATGCATTTTAAAAGTTCAAAGTATTGTTATGACAGTAGGCACGAGCTACGACGCAATGTGCGTTGAGGGACCTATCCCTCTATGCCATCTGCTGTGGTGAGTGTGGTTTGTGTAGCGGCAAATGAGCTAGATTCTAGAGAAATTCTAAACTATTTCACATTGTTTCAAATGCTGATTGTTTCCATGCTTCTGTTATTCTATTTGACTCATTTTAAACTATGGATTGAGTTCAAACTAGAGCCGGTAATTCGGGTTGAACTCGACGAGCTAGCTCGAACTCACCCGAAAAATTTTAAGGTCGGGCTTTAAAAAATAGATTTTTTTTATGTTCAGGCCTATTCGGGCTCGGGCCACGAATATCCGAATAAAAATTTTTTATTTTTAATATATAATAAATATTAATTAATTTTTTTAATTTTTAGGTTATTTTATACTGAAATATCATATATTTGAGTCTCAGACATCATTTAAGTATCAAAAAAATATATTTTATTATTTTTTATAAAATAAAATAATTAATTTTAAAATAAAAATTTAAATTAAAAATAATTTTTAAAATAAAATTTGGGTATTCAGGCACCCGAAGCTCGAAGGAGCTCGGCTATTCGGGCTTTTTAAAAAAACGGGCCTGTGTTCTAGCTCAAACAATATTCAAAAAGGATTTTTTTGCTATTCCAACATTTTGGACCATTTACTTCTAAGTCTTTAAGTTGTGATAACTTTTAATTGAGATTTTAATCTAGTTTTAATTATCACAATGACGTGTTAAAGTGTTGTTTTGGTAATAAAAAGTGTTGTTTTGGTAATAAAAAGGTGTATATTGCACATGTAATTTGAAAAGCACTAAGCTGGTCAAGTGATTAAATTCAAATTTGGCAAGATAATCCAAGGGCAAGTCTTTCTTTAAGACAATATCCTTCCTATTTTCTACTTCTTTTATTATAATTTGTTCAAGTTGCAAGTTGGGGGAGGTTCAGGGTTATGGAGAATGGAAAAAGATATTATGGAATTTTACAGTCTTCAACAGCACAACTTGCAGATTCTTAAAGGGAAAACTTGATTGAGGATGTCTGTTTCATATTTGTTTCAACCTTGGCAATCGAAGGAGGGTCACATTCTTGAGCTGTGTTGTACCCTCAACGCTTCCCATGTCATCAACAGTTGAACACCCGACCAGAATATCTCTTGCACCAAGTTACCTATCTTTAACCTTCAAAATCTCCAGACTTGCAAAAGCTCCTTTCATCTATGATAGAAATATATTCTCAATTTTCTCTGTTCTTTTTCTTTTTTTACTCTCAAGATCTAGAAGTTGCTCATGAAATTTGGAGTGATGATGGAAAGATGCTATATTGTCTTCAAGTTTTGTATCCCTTTTATTATCATTGTTTCCAATTTAGGTAAAAGTACCTACGATCCATTCAAAAATTTTAAAATAAGCATATTAGTTTACAATAAAGAGAATACCTGGGGCAATTTTTTTTTTTTTTTTGGGGTGAGGGGGCAAAACAAAACTTGGGTGAATTCATTTTGAGGCAAAATTACAAAAAAAGTAAAATATATTAGATGCCAGTTTCTCTGCTTTGTCCTGTTTTTCATAGCATTTTCAATAATGGGTTTCCAGAAAAATAGTTATGAAGAATAATAGGAACATAGACAATGCATTTATCAGTTTGTTAATAACACTATCAGAAAGACAAAGGTTTCATTGAACAGGGGAACTATGAAACGGCAACACGAGAGAACAACGTGATTGATGCTACAATAAACCAAGTCTTTATGATCACATTCTCATGTTCCTTTTCCTTTGCTTTCTCTCTTTTTTAATCATATTTTTATATTTAGTAAAGAAGGACAACTATGAGGCAACAGCATAGAATAATGAGACAAGGAGTAAATTTTTTTTAATCCCTTCATATTTCCCATTTTTAATTTCCATACCTTCAACTAGAACACTATTTTTATTATCAAAGTTCCCAAGAAGGTGAATCTGGAACCCTTAATTGATTTTATCGACGCCTTCCTATTTTTGTTTCAAGATATGAACAAGCAGATTTCAGTTCTGGCGAAGCAAGCTTAGAAATAAACTCAGAATCATCATATATCATCCGAAAAGATAATCAAATTCAAAATCAATGGTTGATCCCATAGACATGTCATATGTGCTCTGGGTTGCATTAGCCTTATGACATGTTGTTGCTCTGTAACTAAATATATATATATATATATATATCTTCAGTGCAAAATCCTAGTTCATTTAATTTTATTAGAATAGTATCCAGAGAAGGATATGAAATTGCCAATTCCTTCAATACCTAACATACAGAACAACTAAATGGGATACAAATGAGAGATTACTATTGATATGCAGATAGACTAAAAACCAGCATGCCGAAGAAAATATAGTGTGCTGATAATTAATGGAAGTGTCAAGAAACAACATTAAGAAAGAGGAAGCAAACATATTGCTGTATTGAACCAGTCAAGCAAGGATGAGTGTGAACCTCATCTTCATGGCTCAATAAAATGATCGAGCCTGCTGGCCTCATCTCGCAATGAGACTAAGGATGCCTCAACAGACACTAACTCAGTTCTAAGAGTGGAAGCTTTAGCTTCAGCCTCTTCAAGCTTTCTGTTGAGTTCATCGCCATCAACACAGCTCTCAATGCAACCATGCACGTAACTGAGCCAAGAACCATCAAAACCAACTGCTTTTAAGGCAATACAACAGTCTCTGATGTGGTTTCGATCATCCTTTGTCAAGTCACGTCTTCGAGTGGTCCTCAAAATGCGACTGACGTCGGCGAATAAGGAAGCAAATACTCTTTGTCGCTTTGTATTGAGCCAATCAAGGACTTGAGGATGACAATTCAATCCAGCCTCCAGATATGGCAAGTTCTGTACTGAAATGTCAACCATCCACTTGTAGTTGCTGTCAGCATCTGATGCTAACATTGATGAAGTCATGGCTTCTGGAGCTCGTGAAGTTGATGGATCGATTGCTGAATCAAAAAGATACATAAGAAAATAAGATGGATATAGTTTTATAATTTTTTTAAAAAAGTTATTATTTTTCGTTTTTAAAAGCTAAAAATGCATTACTTGCTGTATATTCAGTATAGTTAGAAGTCTGGCTTGGCAAACTCTCATTTGGAAGTGTTCCTAGGAAAGGGGATTTGTCTAGTATATTTTCAATTTAAACAATAGAGAGTTAGGGATATTAATTATTGAGGATTAATTACACAATGCTAGAATGAACAATGAATTACAAAACATTGATAAAGACCAGTGAGAAAAATAAAGTTGAAACTTGAGAACCATACCTGAACCAGTAGAACCTGCAAAATAAATTAAGGAAAATAATCCTTTAGTATTCAGTCATTGATTCATGTGAAGTCACAGCTTGCAAAACAAAATTAGTACCAATATTTTCAATCGTGGTAGAGTTTAGTACATTTTGAAAAGCTTGGGATGAAGGCTTTTTTATTGTGTCACACATCCCTTGAGCCCCAATAAATAAAACGTGATTTTTCTCGTTGATTTTAATTAAAATGGAAATTATAATCATTAATTAATCCAAAGAAAATATTTATAAAAAAAGGAGACTAAATAAGATAAGAACCTGAGTTTTGGGCTTTTGAAAGGCTCCCTCCATCCTTGTCAATGGTTTCATCTATATCTTGAGTTCCAATAGCTAAATAAACAATGATAAACATAGAACATTAAATAAGATGATTTTTTCTCTGAGAAAGGTGTTAATTCAAAGATGTTAAGTCAAATATGACACTGTAGGTTAGGCCATGCTTCTTTTCGTGTTCTGAAGCACCTTGAAACTCTCAGACACTCTGTTGTTGATATAGATTCTAGTTCTTGTGATATTTGTATCCAGGCTAAACAGCCTTGGCTTCCCTTTATGAATAGTGATACTAAATCTGTCTCTTGCTTCCATCTTTTGCATATGGATGTGTGGGACCTTATAAAGAACCTACAGACCAAGGTTTTCGTTATTCTTTTACTATTGTTGATGATTTTTCACGGGGTACTTGGTTATTTTGCTTAAACATAAGAGTGAGGTTTCTGGTCATATTGAATCTTTTTTTTTTTTTTTAGCTTATATCCAAAATAAGTTTGGTATTACTGTTAAAATAATCAGAAGTGATAAATGGCACTGAATTTCTCAATCATGAGTGCCTCTAAGATTTTGGGGGGAATGTGTTAAAACAGCTGTCTCTTTGATTAACATAACTCCAAGTAAAATTTTGAATTTTAAATCCCCTTACGAAATTATTCATAATTCTGCTCCTGAATTGCATCATTTAAAAATTTTTGGTTGCCTTGCTTTTGCCTTCAGGTAACATAACTACGATAAATTGGAACCTAAAGCTGATCCTTGTGTTTTTTTGGGATACCCAAGAACTAATAAAGGCTATTTATTATATAATCTCACAACTAAATCTTTATTTGCTAGTCGCCATGTTGTTTTCATTGAGCACTGCTTCCCATTTAAAGATCATATGAATATCAATCAAGGGGGGGGGGGGGAAAGCTCCCACAGCAAGTCCCCTTATATATGATACTGTCACAGATTTCTCTCCAAAGAACCAGCAAGAAATACAACTTGATACACGCCTTGATGAAAACCCAACCCAAACTGAAACTCCTGTAGATCCAGAACCATCACTCCCTCCTCCTGCTCCTTCATCACAGCCCCTAGGCCTACAAGTGGGAGAAAGAAGCCTGCGTGGTTGACAGATTATGACTGTTCTGGTTTACCGGATTCAGATCCATCACTAAGAGGGATAATCCAGTCAGTTTATAGCACCAAACCTGCACAGGGAGTATCTCCTTCATATCCAATTCAAGCTTACTTGTCTTATTCCTCTATCTCTTCTTCTTACAAAAATTTTATTTCAAATATTGATTCTATTTGTGAACCAGGTTTGTACGAAGAGGCCATTAGAGATCCTCAATGGTTGCAAGCGATGAAGGATGAAATTCGGGCTCCAGAGGCAAGCCATACTTGGGATGTGGTGGATTTACCATGAGGAAAGAAGCCCATTGAATGCAAATGGGTATTCAAAGTAAAGTATAAAATAGATGGCATTTAGACAAATTAAAACCTCGACTTGTGGCCAAAGGCTACAACTAAAAGGAGGGGATTAATTACTCAGAGACCTTTTCTCCAGCACTCAAGATGGTAACGCTGCGTATTGTTCTCAAACTGGCTGCTGTCCACAAACCACCCATATTTCAGATGGATGTCCACAATGCACTCCTTCAAGGAAATCTGGATGAAGAGATCTTCATGCGTATGCCTAAAGGGTTTTAACCAACTAAATCTAATAGAGTTTGTAGGCTTGCTAAATCACTGTATGGGCTGAAACAAGCCTTTAGGCAGTGGAATATTAAGTCGACCAAGGCTTTAGTTGATTGGGGTTTTAGATAGAGTCATTAGGATTATTCTCCTTTCATAAAGTGAAAGGGGGAGAAAGTGGTCATAGTCATTGTTTTTGTGGATGATCTAGTTGTCACTGGGAGTAGCTTAGATGAAATAAATAAAGTAAAGACACACCTGTACAGTAATTTTAAAATTAAAGATTTAGGAGTTTTGAGATATTTTTAGAATTAAAAGTTGCCAAATCTGAAAAATGAATAGCTTTGAATTAAAGAAAATATGTTTTAGATCTCCCTGTTGACACAAGGATGAGTGCTACTAAGCTCATTGGTACTCCAATGGAGCAGAATATCCATCTGCCTCATGATATTCGTGATAAAAGAAAGAAGAATGGTAAGAAAGAGAAGAAACAAAAGACTGATTACTTTCTCTCTAATTCTGATTCTTATAGATAGCTTGTTGGGAAATTACTGTACTCAACTATGACTAGACCTAACATTTGCTTTCCTGTATAGGTGCTAAGTCAATTCATGGAGAAGCCGAAGAAATCTCATATGGACGCTGCCTTGGTAGTAGTAAGATATCTCAAAGGAAACCCAGCTCTTGGTATACTTCCATCATCAAATAACGACATGTAGCTTATATCATTCTGTGATTCGGACCGGGGCACTTGTTCAGACTCATAGAGATCTGTGATTGGTTATACTGTCAAGATTGGAGACTCACTTGTCTCCTGGAAGTCAAAGAAACAGAACACAGTATCACAATCTTCGGTGGAGGCAGAATACGGAGCTCTGGCCATCATGACAGCAGAAATTACTTGGATTTTGGGGTTGATGGCAGATCCAGGAATTAAGAGGACAAGACCAGCTGACATACAATGTGATAGCAAGGCTGATATTCACATGGCAACCAACGCTGTTTTTCAATAGTGGATAAAGCATATTGAGATAGATTGCCACTTTGTTAGCGAAAAACTTCAACAAAAATTGATTAAGCTTTCATCATGTGAGATCCTACAACCAACAGGCTGGCATTCTAACTAAGGCACTTGGATGGAACATGCATAAACACATATTAGGCAAGTTAGGGATCTTTAATTTGTATGACCCTGACTTGAGGGGAAGTGTTAAGTCAAATAGTGTTGATTATGTTAGGCCGAAGCCAATTAGGGAAAGTGATTGTATCATGTTTTGATTAGTATATATAGGTTATGTGAATTCCAGGATGAGAACGATTTTTTATTTTTTATTGTTAAATGAATGGACGTTATTTTTCAGTCCAGAGTTGAGTAATATAGAGTCCAACAAAAGAAACTATAAAAAAATTATTTCCTTCAAAAGAGTAAAATATCCATTACCTTGCTTTGTGTCGCCAATTACAAAGGTTGTGGCCAAATTGGACAAATTTTCGTTGCGAACAATTTTGGAGTCATTTGATTCTTCTGATAAATTTCAATTAACATAATAGAGAGCTAGAATCATTAGCTAATTAAGCAAGAGTATAATATCGAAAATTCATCAAATATAATATAACAAAGTAATCGAGGTCATTTATGATGAGTTGGAGACTACAAAACATGATTAAAATCAAAACTTTAGAATAGTTAATAATTAATCCAAATGATCATCAAACATAAAATAGAAGCTCAAAATCATTCAAATCAATTTGAAGACAATAAAACATGATACGAGCCTGTGTTTTGTATTATGGCCAGCCTTATTTTGTCTTGATCAATTTGAATTAATGGTTTGTTAATAGTCTCATCCATCTCTCAATTCCCAGTAGCTTAAAAAATAATCAAAAAAATAAACACACAATTGCACAATATTTTTATGAAAAAAAGTAATTTCCTTCCAAAAAGGTTAAAAAAAATCATTACTTTCCTCTTTATCAACAATTACTGAGCTGTTGGTTTGGTTGAACATGAGTTAGAATTCAATGCATTTTGGGCAGCTTGAACCATTCCTCGAGTTATGGTAGCTAAAACATAATATCATTACCTGTATTATGAGCCATAATAGGGCTTATTTCATTTTGAGCAGCTTGAAATGGAGGAGTCTTGAATGTTTCATGCATCTTTTGTGTCCGAATATCTGAATCATATGATTTTTTTAATAAAAAGTTGAAATCACTTGTTAAGCCAAAAATCAATGGGACAAAGAATCATGCCATATAACAAAGCACTTTGGGTTAGATTCTCAGCGAGAAGCATTTTTGGGTCATGCAATTTTTCTAATATATTTTAATTCATATGGTGCAGAGAGCCAGAAACATATCAATTAATAAATTAAAAATGAATTTGTGGGAAAAAAAAGGTTAAAAAATACGCATATTACTTTCTTGATTGTTGGCAATTTCTAGAGGTTGTGGACTGGTGGAATAAATTGTCACTAGCGCAGCCTTAAATGTCTTGTGATTCTTCCGGTAAATTTCAGTCCGCACAACATAGAATTGTAATAATCACTTAAGCCAGATATTACTATAACAAATTAGAGTTTAAATGTGTGGGACTTCTCATATTAAGTTCACTAATATTTGAACAAACTGACAAAAATCTAGGATCTATTACTTCTTGTGTTGAGACAGTTCAATCCAATTTGGGTAGTTTGTGTGAAGGGTTTAATTTTTTGATCGTTTCATATTCTTCCTCATTCCTAGTAGCTATACAAAATTTAAAAAAAAAAAAAGTGAGGGAGACAAAAAGAATGATGCTGCAGAATTTTGGCAAAGACTTTTTTTTCTCCTTTCTTTTCAAAAAATTGAAAAATGCATTGGTTACCTTATCTGTTTTTAGGCATCTATTTGGTTGAACAAATCCTTAATGAAAATTGGAACCACAAAAAAGATCATCAGTACCTGTTTCTTGAATTGAGGTATGAGTTAATGTGTTTTCAACGGCTTCAGCAAATGGCGTTTGAAGGGTCTCATTCATCTCTTCAGCCCCAAAGGCTAAACATATGCAAACGTCATTTTAAATAAACAGGTTTCACAAAATAAAATGAGAATAATATTTTAGCAAAATACAAATGAATTACTTTGCTCCAAAAAAAAAATAATGGTAATATTGTAACATGATCCATACCTGCATCAACTTTTGGGAGGCTTAATGTGTTTTGACTAACTTGATCCAGGGGCAGCTGAATGATTTCATGCATCTTATGAGCGACGATACCTAAGTAAATAAAATAAATAAGAATAGAATGACATGAGGACGTAACAATAATAAAAATAATTTTCTTCCTCACGCAAAAGACGTCCGTTAATGTGTTCCATGTTGACAATATAAAAACGGTGATTTGATTGGACAAATTGTCATCAGGAGAGAAGTTTTTGTTAAGCCGTACTCTTAAATGATTCCATATAAATATTATTTTTGACGTAATGGATTAAATTAAATATTATGTACTAGACAAAATTTTATTTGCATTGCTTTAATATATTATTAAAATTATTTGAAAATTAAATGCCATTTATTTGATTTTGAATCAAGTAATTAATCACGAATGTATACCTGAATGTGGAATTGGAAGTTTGTGTATTTGTTGCTTCCCCAAATCTACAATCTTATTGGCCTTTGATTGGGCTCCATGCTCCTCGGAGCTTGATGCTCTGCTCGTACTCGCACTTGTTTCATGCCTTTGACTGCTACTTGAAGATTCCTCGTTGTCCCTTTCAACCTCTTCTACAATTGCCTGATTGAATGAGTTAAACAAACATCTTTGTATTACTTTGTAGTTTTTCCAGACCCAGGCTCAAAACATACATTTAGATTTTAATATACGTACCTTGTCTAAGAACATCTGCTTGATAGTGATATTGAGGGACTCTTTCCAGCATTTTTTTCTATTTTCCACTTCTACAAATTTCAGAAATGGGGCCACAATGAATCCACATGAGAAATTTTGCATTTTATGGCATCTTGTCACTTTTAATCCCAGCAGAGATGGGAAAATGAAGATGTGTTTCCCGCAACAAAAGCTTTTAAAACTTGATAGGCTATTTAGTTCCAAATACTTCAAGCTTTCAAATTTGATCTCTTCCTCTGATTCTTCTCTGTTTGTCATCACAATCTCCTCTAGCTTCCCACAATTGCTAACTGTCAAGCTTGTGAGGTGGACGAGACTTTTTGCAGTGAAAGATGTCATGAAGTACATTAACCCATTGCAATCTTCCACTTCCAAGGAAGTTAATTTTATGAAAGATGCCAAAGGTGGTGCCAATCTCATTAACATAGAGCATTCCCTTACAGTCAGGTCTTCAAGGTTCAGAACAAGGGCATCTGTTGGAGAGTTGTCATCCCATATATGCTCTAGCTGCTCCAGTTGAAAAAGCCACAGATTTTTTATTTTGGTGGGGATTTTAATGCTGCAATGTCCAGTTTCCTCAAGGGGAAAAAGTGTTTCAAAAGAACTGCAACGTACTTGAAGCGTTGTTGCATTTGGAAATCTTCCAATCAAATCACTTAGAAAAGTAATCGGAGTTCTATGAAAATATTGCAAACGAAGGATTTCTATGCTTTGAAACAGATTTTCTTCATAATTGTCATTCAGTATCCTCATGGCATCCTTTTCATTTAATGACAACTCTTCCAAGTTTTGAGATACCTGAAAAACGTCAATATTGTTTATTTAATCATTTGATCAACTAAGAAGATAACTGAACTGATTTCTTGTTTAGAGAGAACGATTAAAAACAGATCAATTAATTAAATAAATAGAAAAAGAAGGTGCGTACCTTTTCAATATGAAACAAAGCTCGTTGATTTTGTAATTTAACGTCACCTACTACATGCTGTTGGGAATTCAGATGGCCAAATGAAAATATTTGCAATTCTTCACATCTATAGACATTTAGTATCTTCAGTGAAGGACACTCTAGTATATATCTTTTTGGATAGAAACCAGTGAGCTGTGTTAATTCAATTAGCCTCAACAGTTTAACCGAGGAAAATCAAGCGTAAGTTCCTCTAATCCTTCATTTGCAACAATTTCCTTGACACCATCACAAGATTCAATGTTCAGCTCTTCAAGTTGCCTCAAGCCTTGGCATAGTGAGATGGAAAACAAACTTTTTAGTTGTTGGCATTTGTCAACTTTCAAAACCTGTAAATTTCCAAAGCTGATTATTTTTGCCACTTCTTTATTCCACACGTGTTTCAAATTTGGAAGCCCCGAGAGTGTTATTTTTTTCAACCGACTAGTTTCCTTTGATTCCATCACTACTCTGTCATCTTTTATATCAAATACTGCTTCTAATGAATCACACTCTGTTACTTCCAGTTCCTCCAATATATATAGCAATTGCAGTAAATTTGATGAAAAAATGATGTTGGATAAAAATGAACATTTATGCACCACCAAATGCTTCACATTACAGAATATTTTATGCACAACCTGGTCATACCATAGTTGTTTCAGCTCTAGATATTCAAATAATTCCAAATGATTGAAGCTACTAAATGCCGCCTGTCCAAATAATTATCAAGGTAAGTGATAATAAAATTGATTTAAAACACATTAAACAATGATATTAGATACTTATATAAAGAAAAGGAAAAAAACAGAAGAAAATCGCAACCATAGTATGTCAAAAGAAATTGTAGGCATAAACCACTATCTGCATAAGTAGTATTCTCTAGTTAACTATCTCCATGTTTAAATTAGAGTATTGTAACATCCAGGACAATTTAACCTTAGTTTATTAACCTAATGAGGGTAATTATTGAGTTAATGAGGTGTGTGGCCAAAGGGGTTTAACTTGGTGTATTTATTGTGATTTCAGCCCTAGATGTGGTTTCGGATTGATGGCAAGCCACCTAGGTATGGAAAGAGGAAGAAAAAGTAAGTAATTGTTTTTTGTGTCACATGCCGTGGCTCAAGCACCATGCACCGTGGTGTATTGCACAAAATTTTATTGTTTTTGCTGTCATTTGATAACAAAATCGGGGGAACTTCTGAGTTGCCCTGATTCTCCATCTGACATTCAAATGACGTGATTCAGGTATCTACAAAAAGCTCTTTACATGAACTAGCTAATGGCATAGTTTTCACTTCCAAAACAAGTCACACTAGGAAGTTGGATACCCAAATACAATTTGACCACTTTTCAACACTCTTACACAAAATGAGTGTCTAAAACCTTCAACAAGTGCCAAAAGCTTTTCCTAACACCTGGATCATGTCCAATGGACATAGGACTACCAGTACAACACGTCACAAGAACCGAAACATTACTATAACTAAAATTCACTCCTCAACCCCAATTTATCAAAAATAAAAGGGGAGGTAAATTAGCATTGCATTTCACTCAAATCATTCAAACATACTCAAATCTTCATTTCTACATTTACACTAGTATTTTGGCCCTATAAACATATATATATCAACATGCATAAAAGCTAAGAGCCTAAAATACAATTCTAACATTTTCAACAACCAAAATAGTGCAAGTGAGGTAATATGCATCTTAGAATTGGCAAGCCATATACTATTACACAATTAAAGCTAAACTAGAGGCATATAGTAGTAGGAATATGCTAATTTCTAGCCTCTTTAGTCTTCTCCCTCTTAACACCAGAGCTAGAGCCTAAAAAGTATTAAATAAGAGGGGTGAGTCTAGCCACTCAATAACTAAGGTTAACTCTACCCTATGCAGTTATATATCAATTATAAAAAAAATACATGCACAAGGAGATCAAATATGCAAATCAAACTCACATGTATCATAATTTACCATTTATCACTATATAGTTTCTTTACTCACATAACTAGGTACATTGTCACCATATTTTCAAATATATGACATGACCCATGCTCTTACGACCTGCCACCACTTAACATGTGCAACACATCATATATTTATTTAGGCAATGATCAACCAATCTTATATCCTCCTTATTTTCTCAAACTGAAATCGTGGGCTATAACACTGATTAAGGCTCTGTTCGTGTGATTGGACTACCCAAGCTCACTAATTGTGAGGTGTGACCTAGCTAAAGATTACAGAACTCACTCTCGAACCACGGCTTCCCCTATTCTCAAATCCTTAGGGTGTCTCATACCCTAGGCTATTCTCCTCATTGAACCAGTAGAGATAGCTAGGTTCTAGTCCCTTGACAAATTATAGGACAGTTCCTCGACAAATAGTGGGACAAGGTTATAGCTCCGATGTATCGGAGGGCAGCATAATTACTGTATGAATTTTCTCTACTCACAAATCCCTAGGCGAACTCCCGTCATTGATCATGCTTTAATCATTACTCACTTGACTTTACTTTTTTGCTTTCATTTACTCACTTTTACAATAACCACGTTGGGCTTATGACCTTGTGCTACACAAGTGTGTATCCTCATCATTTTCTCAAATTCATTTCATGACTGACACACAAATATCTCTTCTCATCACTGCATTCATTTTTTCAAATCATAATCATTTTCATAGTAGAATCCTTTTGACTTTGCATTGTGCGTTCAAGCCAAAATAGCATTGTGCTCAATCAAATTCTCATACACTCATTGAAAACTAATATATAGTTTTACATAAAAATCAATCTCATACATGTAACATTCACCATTCAATTTAACAATCAATTACTACTCAATTAACATACAACTACCTAAAGTAGAGTATTCTTCCAATTACCTCAAATCTTTGAGAGGTCAAAGGTTTACCCCTCAATCAATTAGCTTTTAAGTTTAAATTTTCACTCCAATAGGTGACCAAGAGCCAAAACTACAATCAACCAAGTTGAACTCTATCAACATAACAAACTCAAACAATTTGAACCCTTAATCTCTACTAAATTTCCCAACCTTCACTTTACAAGAGGTGGAGCCTAACTATTGGATTTAATAGTTACCTGCAGCCCTCAATAGCATTAATGAACTATTAAATCCTATTAATGGCATCACAACTTCCAACCACCCAATATAAATGAGATTTTCGAGTATTTATGATGCCCAACAACCTAAGACACCAAAACTCATCATACTTAGGTTTAAATACTCTAATCTACCCCCATTAACTTTATTTGAGTCAACAAATTCAGACCCATAAGCTACATGGATCAAATCTCACTTTCAATATCAAACCCTAATCATTTAAATGTGAAAGAAAAGGGGAGATTAATGAGTATGGTACTTACTTTGGGTGTTTGTAGCCTTCAAAACACTCTCAAAGTAGTCCCCAAGTAAACCCTAGCAGATTTTAGTGCACCTCTTCTTTCTCTCTTTTCTTTTCTTTCTTTTTCTATCTCATTTTGTGTCAGATAAAGTGCAAAAAATGGCTATATGTCGTGGCGGACGATGGCTGTGCACTGCGGTGGACGATCTACGCACCGCGGCATATGGCATAACAACTTCAACTCTTCCTTTTCTTTTCCTTTTGATACTTGGATGGCTCTCCTCGATACCGGACCCACAATTAAGGCTAAAATAATATCAAACATGATTATTAAACCTCTCTAGCCACACACCACTTCAATTTACCTAATTACCCTACTTAGGTTTAATTAATCAGGGAATTAAAACTGAGATGTTACACCCTGGGTTAGTGAGTTTTGGTTGTGAACTCGTGGATAGGGCTAAAATACTTGTACAAGTAAAAACATATGTATTTTGAGAGATTTGAAATGAAATTATTAATTTTGTGCAATATTTCCTCCTCTTTTTATGTTTTGTGAAATCAGGTTGAGTGGTGATTTTATGAGATAAGCGTTTTTGATTTTATGTGGTGCATTACACGAGTTCGCAAGAGTTCGTTGAGTGTGGTCGGATGGTTGGTGTGAACTATTGGCACAAGTGGTTGAGTTGGGACACCCTATTTGGAAAATTTTATAAAAAAAGTAGTCAAAATGGATTTTAGTATCTAACTTTTTATAGGAATTGAGTTTGAGTGTGAAACTGGTGCCATTAGCTAGAGCTAAGAGAAAGCTCCTTATAGAGACTAAAACTACCTCAATAGGACATCAGACAGAGATTTAGAACACATCAGAAGTTCACCTCCTGTGCTGTTAAATAATAGCACTGATGCTGTAAATTTCGTGCAATGTGCCACAGCGCATGGCACAGAGAAAACACGCCACGACGCACATGCCGGAAGCTGCGGTGCACATGTCATTTTCTACACAAAATCTGTTTTTGAGTTTTAAAACTCATTATTTTGGGTCCCAATTGATTTTCAAGCTTTCGCTTTACTTTCAAAACTCTAATACGAATTTATTAAATAATATTTTAAATTTGAATTATTGAAATTTTGGGATTCTTTTAGAAGAACTTTAAGAAATTCCTTTTATACTTTACAATTTGGTAATCCTTTAGGGATTAACCCTAGGTTGCCATGATTTGGAGTCAATTGTAGTTTAATCTCATGGAGGTTTTAAGTATTCCTTAGGTCAAAACAAACTATATTTTAGAATGTCTTATAGAATGATCTCTTTAAATCACCTTTCCTAAAACCATTTTCCATCTTTATCTATATATCAATATCATTTAAGCATTAGTGCGCTTGTCTTTCTCTTTGAGAAACTCTTCATTCTTGGACATAAGAACCTTAAAAGTGTAAATATAATCAAAATATAGAGGCAAAATAAAATACCATGTTCTAAATATTGCTCAGTAATGTATTCAACACAATTTGAAGTTATGATCTTTTAAGTGGTTATGTATAAGAGTTTGACATCTTTTTACAATTATATATGATCCCCATTCGTAATAAGTAATTAACCCTATTTGAATAAGACAAGTCAAATATATATGGAAAGGATACGCCACAAATCATAGAGTCCTCAAAATACAACAAACTTTTTCTAATGGTATTATGTCCTCTTTTCCCACTCAATTATTTGACTAGGATGTTAAAATATTATGGTACTTGATCTCTCTACTTGGTATTATTTTCATTTACAAACGATAAAATGAGAAAATCAATTATCCTTTTCAAAAGTGTATGTCAAGGGAAAACAAAAATCATCTGCTGATAGAATCATCATTAAGCCTAGATAGTAGGAATCATTGAGGAAACAAGCATAAAAAACAGAGTGAACACTCAATTATTAATCACATGGCAGTGTTTCATTATACACACAAATTCCTTGTCATGGCTAAGGCTTTATTTCCTTATATTTATTGGGAGTAAATGTGATGAAAATAAACTATGCTGCATATACTCAAAATATATTGTCCGAACTAGTTAAGAAATAAGTCCCAGACCTGTTCAATGGAACATGTTGATGTTGGTTTTGACATTTCTGTGAACTCAGGATATTGAAATAGCTCCAAACGCTCTAGGCTACGAAATGCCACCTATGAATAATAATAGATCTGTAAATGTTTTGTTTGTAACAAATGTTTTTGTCATATTCAACCATATATACACAACATCCATGAACATGAAAATACATCACCCAAAAATATTTGGCAACTACTTTGCAAATAGCCATCATAATGGGTAAAAAGAAATTGCATAAGCAAGTTATTATGTAGAAATAATTTCACTTTCTTCATTTAAAGTGATTAATTGCCTAAAATAAACATACCATATGTTGGAAGATCTTTTTCACTGTACCATTTAGGTCACCTTCACAAAACCATTTTTCATCTTGGTCATCTGTCAGTATCCTTTGAAGTAATGGTGCACTTGTATCGCTCGTAGAGAATCTCTTCATTCTCGCGCATTGCCTTATCACAAGTTTCTCTAACAATGGAACTTTCAAGGAGCAACTACTAGAGCAAAACGTTTTGAGTTTTGGCAAAGATTCAAGTTCCAAAACTTCTAGGCTATCAAATGCAATTTCATTATTTGTGCCCTCTCCTCCCTCTTGAGCCACAATTTGTTCAATTGACTTACATGCTCTTATTTTCAATGTTGTTAACATGGCTAGACTTCTTGCTGTTGATGTTGTAATTACAGCAATCAACCCATTGCAATTTTCCACATCTAAATATGTCAAGCGATTGAAAGTAACAAATGAAGGCACTAAGAGCTTTAGATTGGAACAATTATATACATCTAAGTGTTCAAGAGCCTCAAGAATTAGATTTGATTGGAACCCTTCCTTACAAATATGCTGGAGTTCAACCATGTTAGAGAGTGACAACCTTTTGAGTTGTGCTTTGATATCACTTTGTCCTTTCTCATCTTTGGGCATTTCATCTTGGAATATCACCTTGGAAGAATTGGCCTCAATGACTAGCCACTCAAGGCAAGTAATATTTTGAAGAATCCAATATAGAAAATTAGCTTGGGCATCTTCTATATTGCACAACCAAAGAAGTTTGAGTTTGCAGGAGTGATCCCTTGAGATTTGCCATTGAAGAGCCATCCTATCATCCTCATTGTTTAGATTTAACTCCTCTAAGTTGCATATTAACTGTACCAATGGTGGAAACATAAACATTGTTACTACTACAAATTAAAGAGATAATATAAATAAATTGAAAAAAGAAAAAAAATTGTAGTGCCTAGCAAAGTCCATTATGGTTATAATACACTGAGGAGTTGTGTTACATGCAATTTGGGCACAAACTACTTTGATATTAAAAATTCATCGATGATCTAATCCATTTTTTAAGAAGCTATGCACTTTGCCCAAAAAAAAAATCATTGCATGAATTAAAATAACAAGGATTGGTAGTTCAAATTATTCAATTATATAATATTACTTCTGTCCCAAATTATAAATTGCTTTTAAAGAAAACCCAAAGTCTCAAAATATAAGAGAATTTGACAAAAATAAAATTTTATTAATGATTTTTTTATAATATTACTCTTGCCATTATATTCCCTCTCTTTTTAAAAATAGAATATTAAATAAACAACATTTTTGAATTTTATTTTTTTTAAAAAAATTGTAAAATGTATTTAAGAAGCTTTACTGAAATGTGTGATATTGTTTAACAAATATATTATAAATTAGGACAAAGGGAGCACTATATTAGCATGAGAAACTTTTCTTATTTTTTAAAAATTAAATAATTATATTCAAAATAATAATTAATATATTCTTTTGAAAATTTCTAGTTTATTGTATATCTTAGAATGAGCTTATAATTAACCAAGAGTTATCACAATTTTTAGGTTTCCTCATTATTGATCAAATATGAGGACGAAGATGATTCCATCAGTAATTACAATATTTAACTTGAGAAGCTTTCCTTTTTAAAATATTAAGAACAATATTTAAGTGACTAAAATATGAACCAGTCATATAACCATATAAAAGAAAACTCAATTACAATAATAACAAAACAACAATTAAATTAAGCTTGAATTAATAAATAGTAAAATAAATACTCTAATAAATGTTACTAGCGTTTAAAACATATTAAAGAATGCATGTTCAGATACAAAAGACCAACAAAAAAAAAAAGCTATTTGAAATGATGAAAATAAATTTTGCTAAAAAAAGAAATAATGAAAATAAGTGACAGCAAATTTGTTTGAATATATCTCAAATAAAAGTAAACAATTTCAAAATTTCTGACCAAACAAATGATAATAGAAATGAATAACAGAGTCGGGGGAGTCTTGAATACATCATATGCAACGGGATTGGGATCTACTTATTATGTTTTTAAATAAGAAAAAGAAAAACAACTAAAAATTGGAGAGTTTTTTGATTAAAAGATGAGGCATACCTCTTCCAATGTGAAAAGAGGTTGTTGCATTGGGACTTGGAGATTATTATCACAAACTCCTTCCTGACACTGTGTCTTGAATAGCTTTAATTTCACACAATTGTAGACATTTAACTCTTTCAATGACCAACAAGCAAAAGTGTGGTTTTCTAGACAAAATCCTTCCAAATCTTCTAAATCCCAAAGCACCAATGATTTAAGTTGATTAAACTCAAATCTAGCAGGACTATCCAAGGTTCCTTCTTTTTTTGAGACAATATGCTTCATATTTTGTGCTTCATTTATTATAATTTGCTCCAGTTGAGGTAGGTCCAAGGCTATGGAGAAAGGAAAAAGGTATTCTAAAACTTCACACTCTTTAACACACACAACTTGCAGATTCTCAAAGCGAAGACATGATTGAGGATCTTTACTCCAAATTTGTTTGAGCTGTGGTAATCGTCGTAGTGTGATATACTTGAGCTGTGTCATTATATCATTTGCATTGACACCCAACTGAAATATCTCTTGCACCAACTTACAATCTTCAACCTTTAATGTCTCCAGAGTTGCAAATGCTTTACTCATATATTCCGGAAGTATTTTCTCAATTTTTTCACAATTTTTGACTTCTAACGTCTTAAAGCTAGCCAAGGAATTGGAAGCCAGGATTCGATGCCACATCGTCGTCAAGTTCTTCATGTCTTTTATTATTATTGCTTCCAATTTGGGAAAAAGTGCCTGTCATCCATTTGCAAATTAAGTTTATGAGTGAACGAAAAAAGTAAAACGTGAATCATTTTAAGTGTATCCTCCTCTGATGTCACAATAATGCTCTTTCAAAAAGAAAAATGTTTTTTTAGATATATTGCTTTATAAGAATCCAACTACATATGATTGATGAAAATGATTCCAACTATGATAAAATCTTTTGGGTTCAAGTTGAATTTACCTCTCCTATTGCAGAGCCATTTCTCCCATCTGTAGCAATTATCTCCCCCATCATATCACATTTACTAATTTTAAGTTGCTTGAGATTCAAAAGTCTTCCAATCATAGAAGAAGAGAATAAATATGTTAAGCCACCACAATTTTCTACAGTCAAGTTAGCTAAATTTTGGACCAAATAGGGTGCAGAAGACTGATGATCTTCCCAAATTTTTTTCAAATTGACCGAACTCAACTTCAAAGTCTCCAAATTAGAAAATTTAACCTGTGAAAACAATGGATTTAGTTTTAATGTGGAAAAAGAAATACGCAGTAAAATAGCATGAACATATTATTATTCATGTTGAGAATTTTGATCTACTAATGGATATCCAAAAGCTAACATCATTCATTTATAAGAGGATGCTGATAAAAAAACTATTTGATAAAAGTTTAACTAAAATGTAATCTTTTAAACAAAAGAAATCATCCATCATTACTGAATATTGCTCATCTCGATTGGCATATACAAAATCAAAAATTAAAGAATATATATATACCTTGTTACTAAAAAATGGTGTTGGAATATTAGCCCTCCATGAGTTTTGCTTAGTACTTTGAAGAGATGTCAACTCATGCGAGCAAAAATTGCCAGTGGTTGGCAAATGGTATAAAGTTAGCGAGCGCAATGAAAGAAACTCAATCTTCTCATCAATACTTTTGCCACTATCTGCACTTTCTACAAACACAATCTTCTTCATAGAACTGCATTCTGAAACTTCAATCTCAACAAGTTGAGAAAAAGCTTTAATCATTGAAATAGAGAAGAGATATACCAATTGGTTACAACTTTTAACTTTGACAACCATGAGTCTGCCAAAAGAATTATCCCTAATTGGACCATCACATATCTTTACCAAGTTATTGAGGTTGTGAAGTATCAATGTCTCTAATTTTGGGAACGAAACATGAGTTTGATCCCTCTTCACTATTGAGTTGATAACATACTTAATTTCACCATTATTTTGGATGTGCAAATGCTTTAACAGTGGAAATCCTTTGCCATTCAATTCAAAAAACACATTTGGAATGCCATTTATTTTATCCAAGTATAGATCTTCAGCCCCTTCAATTAATGTATTAATTCCCCGTTCCTTACGAATGTTGGTATCTAGCTTTACCTTTAGAACCCTTGAGGTCTCTTCACTTGATGACCATTCCCATTTATCTCCGATAATGACCTTGTATCTTACTAAGTTGTCAAATGGTATCTCTTTCAGCAAAAGCCAAGGCTCATGGATTTGAATTTCTAGAGTGGTCAACTTTTTCAAATGACAAAGCTCTATAAGACTAGCATTTCTCTTTTGCTCAGTTGAAGTTTCCACCTCCCAATTAATTATGGTGTTGCCTATATATAGTTCCTCTAATTTGGTCAGCTTGCATAAAATGTTGGGCAGAAAGGTCTTAATTCCAGAGTTGCCCAAATCTAACATTCTAAGATTAGTCAACTGCCCTATTTCACATGGGAACTCTTCTATAGATGAATAGATAAAGCTAAGAATTTCTAAATTTATCAAGGAACCTATTCCTGACATATCTTTCAAGGAGCATTGATCCAAACACAATGTTTTTAGTTTGATCAAGGTGCTAAGAGAAATGGGTAGTGAAAATATGATCAGGCCTGTCAAATCTAATGCTTCAAGGTTTCCCATCCCCTCAAAAAAGGAACCTGGAATTTTTAAAGTACGATTATCAGAGCTGTCTATGTGAAGAAATGTCAAATAGGGACAATCTAACCTTTCAGGAAGCTTTTGGATGCAACAACAGTCCAAGATAATATGGGTACATGTTTTAGGAACATCATTTCCAAGCCAACTTTGCCACTTAGTATTAATTCTCGTGAAAACTTCTTTTGAAGCAATTAAGATGGCTACTTCACGAACAATGTCGTGCATTTTGACAAATTCTACTCTTGAATCATCATCAACCAATAAACAAGAGGCCTTTAGGTCGTCAATTATTCTATAAAGTCTATTTCTTGCACCTTCGATGGTATTTATACCATTGAATATACCTAAACCAATAGCATATTTCAACAAGTCATTAACCATCATGGATGTTCCACGTACACCACAAAGCAAGAATACTTCCTTCATATCAACTTCTAATCGATTGAGATTGAACTCCAAAGATGACAAAAGAATGTCACGCACGTCCTTGTTATCAATACTTTTTAAATTGTTTAAGGTATCTTTCCAATAATGAATATTCTTCTTATCTTTCAATGACTTTGCAATTGTGACTATCAAAATAGGCAAGCCTAGACACTTTTGAGCCACTTGGGTTGCTATAGTTTGGAAACTAGCATCATGAACAATATCACCAACCATAGCTTCAAAAATTCTCCAAGATTCTACATCATTTAAAATTTGAAGGGAAAAGTTCTTTTGAGTTTCATTCTTCAGTAAAATATCTTGACTTCTCGAAGTCAACAATAATTTGCAACCCTTGTAATCATCTTTTGAATGAGACCCTAACTTGTCTGAACTAATTTTTCCCCATATATCTAAAAAAGGTATTCCCAACTTTTCTAAATTAATTTCCTCCCATATATCATCTAGTATGATAAGGATATTTTTCTCCCTTTCAATCCTCTCACACAAGCAGTTGGCTCTTATTATTGATGAGGTCATCTCTTTCAAATGAAGGTCTAATTGCTCTGCAATATCATCTTGAATTCGTTCAAGATTAGTTTGGGATATTGTTACAAAAACTACTTCATTGAATAGCTTTTCATCCTTAACTTGTTTGGCAACCTCTTGAACTAAAGTGGTCTTCCCAACTCCACTTATTCCAAAAACCCCAATTTTGTTGACCTTGGGGTCCTTTAGAGATGAGACAACCTCTTTTTTTACTAAGTTTCTTGACTCAAGCTCACTAATCCCTTTTGTAGTAGGAAAGTTTTTCGTTATATTTAAATGTCGAACATAGCCAACTCGAGCAAAAATCCCCTTTTCCTTCATTTTGATAATGGTGTTCACCATTTTCTTTACTTTTCTACTAAGTTGATATCGGGACTTCAAATTAGGAAATGACCATTTAGAACACCCAACATTTGTATTACGTGCATCTCCACAAAGCTTCTTTACTTCATTTAAAGTCTTAATAACACTTTCTTGCCATGCTAGCACATCACCTTCAATCTCTCTTCCATTTCTTATTTCTTGTGAAACTTCATGGTCAATACGTTCTTTTGTTGTCTGCAACTCCTCTACTTTATCACTTAGCTCCTTAAAGTAGTTTCTATAGCATAATAAATATCCCACCTGCCTTCCAATGGGTTCCATAATAAGCTCTGCTAATTTTGTCGCAACAGATATGAGAATGTCCATTCTTACTTCCTGAATAAAATGACAAGCAAATTTAATACTTGAATAAAAAAAGCAAGGATGAGAATGAAGGGAATGTTGAAAGAAATACAAAACAAAGAAATTCATTAATCAATAGGCTTTATCGGTTATGTAGTTAATAAGTAAATGAAACCCAAAACAAAGGAATCCATTAATCTATGGGCATTATTTAACTAACTAAGGCAAATAATTTGCACTCCTCTAATTTTTGGCTGAAAAGGAATAGAAGAGCATAAAATTATAACACGGGAAAGAAAAAACTAAATGGCAATGTGTAACATCTCGAAATTTTTAAGACTTATGTTTATTTTAAAATAAAATATTTATAATTAAATTAAAATTAAGAATAATTTGATATAGATCCAAAGTTTAAATTTTATGAAGAAAAAGTTTAGTTTTATTTTATTTTTAACTATGAAAAAAATTATTAAAGTTGACCTAAGCTTTTGTGCCATAAAAAAATATTAGGTCCTTATTTGTAATTTTTCCCAAAGTATTAAGATCAGTTTTTTTAAAATATAAGCACGCAGAAATAAAAATTAAGAAGGGAAAGGAAATGAAAGAAGAAAAAAGGAGCAAGAGAGCACGAGAGACGGTGGAGAAGAGAGGAAGGAAGAGATGAAGGAAGAGAGGGAGGCTAAAAATTGGATCTAAGAGGCTTTATGGCCGTTACGAGCTAAATTATGTGATAGGTAAACTCCCTACTTCAATCCTTTTCTTTCCCTCTTAGTTTTGTTAAATTTTTTGAAGAGGTAAATTTTATATTTTGATCACAAAAGCTTTATTCTTGTAAGCTTTCATTTCCTTGGGTCCTTAGGAGGTTGTTTTGAGTTTTTATATAGTGTTCTAATATTTTGAGTGGTCAATTGGATGAAAAATGGAGTTTTAAGGCAAAAGTCAAACTCCAAGAGGTTAGGTTTTGCTCCTCAATAGTTTAAGCCTATTGATTTAGTTATAATTGTACTATTTGAATCCAATAAGATTTAAATTAAGTTTTGGTTTTCATTATAAGGACTAATGGTAAAAGTGGTAATGTTGAGTGAAGGTTTTTGTTTGATTAAAAATTGTATGGCTTTGTATAAATTTTTGTTTGCTTGTAGACTTATGACTAGGAAACTTGATTATGATATGTGGTTTTAATAGATTCATTTGATAGACCAATTTTTCACTATAAGTAAATGTTTATTTTAGTGTGTGTGTGTGTGTGTATATATATATATGAATATGTGTGATTTTACATGCAATTGCAAAGTAGTTGCATTATGAATTGTATGCCAAGGGCAAATATACACTTTGGATAGAGAGAGTGGATGCGTGGGCCTTACGGGGATCTTTGAGCCAAAAGAAAATGTTTGGCATGTGCATTTATATAAATACGTGGCATTTGGATTGATTTTTGACAACTCTTGTATGATTTGTGCATTTTGGGAGTTTAGGGTCCATTTTGAAAAATGACATCCAAGTGGTCACATTTTGATGTATGGGGGTTTTACATCATTAGGTACTCTTAGTCCTATTTCATGTGTCCAAAGTATTCTCACAAGTTTGTGATCCTTAGTATGAGATTTAGACAATTTTGAAAATAATTTTTATCAAAAAAACTACACTTTTGCATCTAGGTGTTGAAAGCTTATCTGACCATTAGATTTCTCTAAAATTTAGGTTACAAGTAAAAAATTTTATAATCTTTGTGTGGACTTTGAAATCACCTCGATCAGATTTTAAATGGAGAAATGGCATGCTCCGAAAGTTGGACTGAAAATTCTATCATAATAACAACCATTGCTGAGGTTGGGATGCGCATAAATTTTGATTCAATTGTTGGATCTTTTTAAAATTTGGTACACTTATAATACTCTTTAAATATGACGTAAGGCTTTGGAATTGCTCTGATTAGAGGTTAGATGATGAAATGGTACACTCCAAAAGTTGGTTCAAAAGTGTTGTTATAATAACAACTTTATCCAATCATGTAGAGTCTCCAAATTCTTATCCGACCGTTAGATCATTTTAAAATTTGGTACACTCTAGTAATAATTAAAAATGACATGTGACGTTTAAAATTACTTTAAATCAGAGGTCAAATGATGGAATAGAGCCTCCCAGAAGTTGGCTTGGGAGGGCTGTCATGGCAGTAATTTAATGCTATCATAACAGCATTTTTTTATCTTGCTTTCACCTAGCTTGCTTTCGTGCACTATAGGTAAAACCTATAAATTTTTTTAAAAGGTTTTAGATGTTTATTTTGTGATGGTGTATTTGTTTAGTGATTTAAATAATTTATTTCCTAAGTTAGTTTTAGGATCAACTCCTTAACCACACTTAGTTTATTGAATTATGTGATTTTTGAATAACACTCGGGAAAAGTGTTACATTTAGTATCATTTTTAGGTTTATGATTCCTCTTTCTTAGTTGGCACCTTAAATTTATTACTTTTATGTTCTTTCCCTTTTACCACTAACTTAGATTAATATTATTTTTCTTTTTCTAGCTTGTTCCTTTAAGAGGGGAGAAAGGTTTATATGCGTGTGGCCAAACACCTTTCAATTGTAATATGGCTCGAAGGGGAAAAGGTAGATTGAGGAATGAGGGACGACCACCACCTCTACCTCCTCTACCTCTGCTTCTGCCTCTACCACCACCACCATAGGGGACAGATGTAGTCATGGCTAGGCTGCTTCAAGTGATGGTGGATATAAAGCAAAATCTCAAAGATCATGCTGTTCCAGATCAACATGTTGACCTAGGTGCTGGGCAGGGTGTAACATTCTAAAATTTCACATATGGAAAAAATGGATTAATTAAGGGATAAATTAGTTAAAAATATGATTAATTTATTTAATTATATTTTTGGGTGGCTAATTAGATTTTTGGGTCATATTTGGCTCTAAATTGAGATAGGATGAAAGTTGGATCAAGTTGGGAAGCATCGGGGGGAGCAAAATCAAGTTGTTGCTCGCTGCGTCGTTAGCTACGGCTTGCGTGGCATGCATTGCGGCGCATGGCATAGTAAGTAACTTCAAATTTTAGGAATTAGCAGAAAAAATTAGATTTTGTGTTGGGAAACCTAGAACACGAAGGGGGCAACTTTGGGCACTGCTAGGGCATCAACTTGGAAGGATTTTGAAGATCTTTTGAGCCTTCAAACTCTTGGGTAAGTTTCTTTCCCTTCTTCTCTACCTTTTCATCTCATTTTCCATGGAATTTGGAAGAGGAAGAATTTGGTCTGATTAGATTAAGCCATGATTCAATGTTTTAAAGGTTTCTATTGATTCTAAAGGTTTAATTTAGGTTTATTGATCTTGGATATGTAGTTATATGAAGGTATTTTGTTGTTTGGTGAAAGTTGGATTAAGCCCCAACTTGATCATAGCGTGTTGAAGTGTGATAAGTTGAGATATTGAGTTTTATGTTGTGATAGAGTTAGAAGGAGACATGAAGGGATGAAGTGAACAAATTCTAATCTTGACAAGTCTATTTGTTGAGAATTTGAGTGAGAAGTGGGAGAATAGGGAGGTTATTATTAGCTAATGGTGCTTGTGTTAATTGAAAATTAACATATAGTACTTGTTGTTGTAGATTGTGGTATGGGAAGACTTACCTTGACACAAGAAGAGAATTAGTACCACGGGTAACCCTTTTAGTAACAAAAGGGTTGACGTAACTGGATAATTTGCATTGTTTATTACCTTGTATAAGTTATTCTCAAGTTGCTTTTCTATGATTTATTGAGTATATATGTATAAATTCCTTAAAGGTTAACTATTTTATAAAATGAGGGGAATATTGGTTTGTAAAATTCTATATTTTAGAAGTAAATGAAAAGATTTTGTTATACTTATTGGAAAATTTGTTTATGCATAGTTAAGTGGAGATATGTAGTAAAATGTGACATATTAGAGGGTGGGAGGTCACCCTAGTGGAGATAGTGAAGATTAAGTCCATATGGCATTGCTAGTACCTCGGGACGCCAGGTGCAGCATTTACTCTCTTTAGTGCCCTAAAAGGGTGCGGAGTTGGAGACTATGCTCCTTAGCATCCGTAGGATGCGGTGTTAGAGTAACGACACCTGAATTACTTGTAATAAGGGGAAACAGTAGTCCAGAAGTGGTTTAGGACACCTTGGCTGTGTAGTCCTACCATGAATGGTGAGCTTGAGAACCATACATGTGGTTTGTTTCTGTGAAATAGCCTACTGGTTCGGTCGGGAGTATTGGAGGACCGGATGGTTAGGGATCATGCATGCAAATTTGTGGTGATATTATATAATGTGATTATGTCACTTATTTTAATGCTCTTTTATAACTTGGCTTATTAATCAATAATATAGATTATCTTAGTTACTGAGATTTTTATCTCACCCCGTGGATTATCATTTTACAGGTGCTACCAGTGAGACTGAGCTAGGGAGGGAATCGGGTAGGGGCTAGCATATCTGCTACACTCTTTGTAAAGCCTAATTTTGGTTTGAGTGGTGTACATAAACTTGTTATATGAGATTATATGTTGCCAACTAGGAATGCATATTATTTTGATTGGTTGCACTTGTTTCATACTATGTTGTTGTGTATTTTAGCCCAATATTGTATATGAGGTGAATATGTGGTAATTTTTGTGGTGATGGGTTAAAATATTAATACTAGTGTAAGGAATGTTTTATCTATGTGGTGACAATGTATTGGTAGTGTATTATGTGGCAATAGAGGCCAAATAGTGCTTGTAGTGCTAATTGTGCATTTTGGCCATATTGGGCAAAATGGCCATTGAGTGGCCAAATTTTGTGTTTGGTATGTTTTTGTGTGTTTGATTGGTTACTCACGTGTATTTTGGTCTATTGGACTTGGTTCAAGCCTCACAATGGGTTAATGGTATTAGTTATGAGTTTTAGGTACTTAGATGGTTGAAAATTTCTTTGAAAAATTGACTTTTACATCCGAGTGTCTAAAATTCTCATACAGTGTCGAATCGTAACGAAACTTATACCATTAGTTAGCTTATTGAATAAGCTTCGTGTGGGCGCTTGAATCACTCCAATCGGACATCGGATGTGAAAATGGCACTTGTTTGAAATTCATCCAAAAAAGCTATCATGACAGCATTGCTGTCATGGACAGGTGCGCCGCGGCGCATTTCGCACAAGTCGTGGTACATGGTACAGTGAGAAAACATGGCATTCTGTGCCACAAGCTGTGGCGCACGGACCACGAGCTACGGTGCGTGGACCAAAACACTCAAAAATGACATTTTTGGCCCTGTTTTGAAGTGATTTGCTTCCCAAAACTTTTCCATGCTTCCAATGCCTATAAAAATCATTAAGTTTGAGCTCAAACTATCAATTTAAAGGGTTGTTATGGGATCTCAAATATTTCTCAATTATTTTTAAAAGATTATTAGTTTTAACCCTTTTATATATAATGCGAGATTAGGAGCAAATCCTTGCTCCTAATTATGATTGGTTGTTGTGATTGTGTGGTGAATTTTGGTAATGTCAAGGTGGACATTACAGTTTGGTATTATTTCTCAGGTTATGAGATCTGGTTGTGGTGATGTCTCTATTGCATTTATTCTCATTAGTTGGCAACTTTATGTACACAACTCTTTCCCTTTGTCTCATTTTCTTTATTTCCTACTAATTTCCCTTTTGGTTTCTTCCTTATGAGGGGAGAAAATGGTTAGGAGAAGCATTTGAAATGCCAGTAATTTATCGAAGAATGATGGGCCTATACCGGAGGTACAACCAGAGATACAAGTAGAACAACAACAAAGGCCCTAGGGTAATGATGCAATTCTTGAAGAATTGCGGGATATGATGAGGAATATACAGAGAACTTTTCCAGACCACGATATTTTGCTTTGTAATAAAGGTCGTGAGGAGGAATAAAGGAGGCAAGAGGAAGCTCATGAGAGTAGATTGGAACCATCTCATGGTTCTGGTAGTAGACCTAGATCGTTTGGAATGAGAGTGGATGGAGATGTTTAAGGGATGGCTATTGATCGAGCATGGAGGACTTTCTCTCGGTTTAACCCTCTAACCTTTAATAGAACTAGGAAGGAAGGAGAAGCAGAGAAATGGATAGAGAGAGTTGACACCATCTTTGAGGTGGTAACGTGCTCTATGGAACAGAAGGTGATCATAGCCACAGTGTATCTAGTTGAAGATGCTAAACACTGGTGAAATTCCACAAGACCAATAGATAGACGCCATCTTATATGGGAACAATTCAAAGAAATGTTCTTTGATCATCATTTTCCTTCAGCATTTAGAGATGAGAAAGAGGCCGAGTTTCATGCATTTCGGCAGGGAGATCTTGATGAGGAAGCATCCATTCAGAAGTTTAATCAGCTATCAAAGTTTTCTACTTATCTAAAGGAGATAAATGATAGCGACTGGAAGGCCAAGAGACTTTTGGAAAAGATGAGGCTTGAATATAGACAGCAATTTGCTCTGCTAGGAGTAACCACATATGCTGACATGTGTAATCGGCTCCGAATTACAGCAAGAAGGTGTTGGGAAGTAGAAGCAGAAAAGAGACGAGATAGTCATGGGAGGTTCTCGTCCTCCCTAGGTCCTTCGGGTGGAGTCTCTAGGAAGACGGGTTATGGCTTGAGTAGTTCTGTAGCATCAGGCAAGAAGAGCTTTGTTAGAGGATTATAGACTCGGGGAATATTTTAGAAGGGTGGATTTAGGAGTTCTAGTGTTCCACAACCATCCCAACAGGCTTTAAATATGCCTGCCCTGACCTTAAGTACAGCTCGACCACCACGGTGTGCTAAGTGTGGGCGGTCACATCCTGGGAGGTACTGGGCATGTTTTAAATGTAGGAAACCTAGTCATTTAGCAAGACAATGCCCTGAGGGAAGAGTGGAGATGGCAGAGCAGAGATCTACCATTCCAGGACGAGTCTATACACTATCTCAGGAGGAGGCAAGAGCGTTGCCGAATTTGATAAAAGGTATTATTTCTATTTGCGAGTAGAAAATTGAAGCATTGTTTGATTCGGGTGCTATATATTCGTTTATTTCATATGAATGTGTAGAGAGGTTGGGACTTCCTTTGCATGAATTTCCTTAAGTGATTAAAGTGTCTACGCCATCTGGGTCATTTGATATGACCAGTAAGGCATGTTTGAATGTAGAAGTGAGGTTTGAAAATCATTTGACCATTCTAAATTTGATCCGAATTCCTATGAAGGGTTTGGATGTGATTATCGGTATGGATTGGATGATGGCAAATAATGCCACCTTGGACTGTGCTAGGAAGATAGTTTTGTTATTGGTACATGCTACACCGGCTAATATTCCTAGTGAGTCTAAGCTTTTATCAGTGGTACAAGCAGAGAGATTGATGCAACAAGGGTGTATGGCTTATATGGTTTTCTTCTCGATGCATGGGGACTACGATGGAAGTATTGATAAGATTGGGGTAGTGAATGAATTCCTTGAGGTATTTACGGATGATATGTCTGATTTGCCTCCAGAAAGGGAAGTGGAATTCACCATAGACCTAATTCCAGGAACTGAACCAATATCAAAGGCACCATACCAGATGTCACCAATGGAGTTAGTTGAGTTGAAGAAGCAGATAGAGGAGTTACTTGAAAAGGAATTTATTAGACCCAGTGTGTCATCTTGGGGGTCACCTGTGCTATTGGTTAAGAAAAAGGACGGTAGCTTACGGCTTTGTATTGATTATAGACAGTTGAATAAGGTGACGGTGAAGAACAATATCCTTTACTAAGGATTGATGATTTGTTAGATCAATTGGTGGGAGCTTCTGTGTTCTCAAAAATTGACTTAAGGTCAGGATACCATCAATTAAGAGTGTGCTTGGAGGATGTGCCCAAGACGGCTTTTTGTACTAGGTATGGGTATTATGAGTTCCTAGTCATACTATTTGGGTTAACAAATGCGCCTGTGGTTTTCATGGACTACATGAACCGCACATTTAGGCCTTACCTAGATCAGTTTGTTGTGGTATTCATTGACGACATTTTGATATATTCTGAAAATGACGAGCAGCATGCGAAGCATTTGATGATTGTGCTACAAATTTTGAAGGACAACAAGCTCTATGCCAAGTTTAACAAGTGTGAGTTCTGGTTACGAGAGGTTTGATTTTTAAGACATGTTGTGTTGGCAGAAGGGATTGCGGTGGATCCAGGGTTTCTCTCAGATAGCTTCATCATTGACTAGGTTGACCCGAAAAGGGAGAATTTGGTCTGATTAGATTAAGCCATAAGTCAATGTTTTGAAGGTTTCTATTGACTCTAAAGGTTTAATTTAAGTTTATTGATCTTGGATATGTAGTTATATGAAGGTATTTTGCTGTTTGGTGAAAGTAGATCAAGCCCCAACTTGATCATAGGGTGTTAAAGTGTGATAAGTTGAGATATTGAGTTTTATGTTGTGATAGAGTTAGAAGGAGACATGAAGGGATGAAGTGAACAAATTCTAATCTTGACAAGTCTATTCGTTGAGAATTTGAGTGAGAAGTGGGAGAATAGGGAGGTTATTATTAGCTAATGGTGCTTGTGTTAATTGAAAATTAACATATAGTACTTGTTGTAGATTGTGGTGTGGGAAGACTTACCTTGACACAAGAAGAGAATTAGTACCACGGGTAACCCTTTTAGTAATAAAAGGGTTGAGGTAACTGGATAATTTGCATTGTTTATTACCTTGTATAAGTTATTCTCAAGTTGCTTTTCTATGATTTGTTGAGTATATATGTATAAATTCCTTAAAGGTTAACTATTTTAGAAAATGAGGGGAATATGGTTTGTAAAATTCTATATTTTGGAAGTAAATGAAAAGATTTTGTTATACTTGTTGGAAAATTTGTTTATGCATAGTTAAGTGGAGATATGTAGTAAAATGTGACATATTAGAGGGTGGGAGGTCACCCTAGTGGAGATAGTGAAGATTAATTCCATATGGCATTGCTAGTACCTCGGGACGCCAGGTGCAGCATTTACTCTCTTTAGTGCCCGAAAATGGGTGCGGTGTTGGAGACTTACTCTCCTTAGTACCCAAAATGGTGCGGAGTTGGAGACTATGCTCCTTAGCATCCGTAGGATGCGGTGTTAGAGTAACGACACCTGAATTACTTGTAATAAGGGGAAACAGTAGTCCAGAAGTGGTTTAGGACACCTTGGCTGTGTAGTCCTACCATGAATGGTGAGCTTGAGAACCATACATGTGGTTTGTTTCTGTGAAATAGCCTACTGGTTCGGTCGGGAGTATTGGAGGACCGGATGGTTAGGGATCATGCATGCAAATTTGTGGTGATATTATATAATGTGATTATGTCACTTATTTTAATGCTCTTTTATAACTTGGCTTATTAATCAATAATATAGATTATCTTAGTTACTGAGATTTTTATCTCACCCCGTGGATTATCATTTTACAGGTGCTACCAGTGAGACTGAGCTAGGGAGGGAATCGGGTAGGGGCTAGCATATCTGCTACACTCTTTGTAAAGCCTAATTTTGGTTTGAGTGGTGTACATAAACTTGTTATATGAGATTATATGTTGCCAACTAGGAATGCATATTATTTTGATTGGTTGCACTTGTTTCATACTATGTTGTTGTGTATTTTAGCCCAATATTGTATATGAGGTGAATATGTGGTAATTTTTGTGGTGATGGGTTAAAATATTAATACTAGTGTAAGGAATGTTTTATCTATGTGGTGACAATGTATTGGTAGTGTATTATGTGGCAATAGAGGCCAAATAGTGCTTGTAGTGCTAATTGTGCATTTTGGCCATATTGGGCAAAATGGCCATTGAGTGGCCAAATTTTGTGTTTGGTATGTTTTTGTATGTTTAATTGGTCACTCAAGTGTATTTTGGTCCATTGGACTTGGTTCAAGCCTCACAATGGGTTAATGGTTTTAGTTATGAGTTTTGAGTACTTGGATGGTTGAAAATTTCTTTAAAAAACTGATTTTTACATCTGAGTGTCTAAAATTCTCATATGGTGTCGGATCATAACGAAACTTGTACCATTAGTTAGCTTATGGAACAAGCTTCGTGTGGGCGCTTGAATCACTCCAATCGGACATTAGATGTGAAAATGGCGCGCATTCAAAGTTTGTCTAAAAAAGCTATCATGACAGCATTGCTGTCATGGACAGGTGCGCCGTGGTGCATTTCGCACAAGCCGCGGCACACGGTACAGCAAGAAAATATGGCATTCTGTGCCACAAGCCACGGCGCACGGACCACGAGACACGCGCATGGACCAAAACACTTAACAATGACATTTTTGGCCTTATTTTGAAGTGGTTTGCTTCCCAAAACTTTTCCATGCTTCTAATACTTATATAAATCATTAAGTTTGAGCTCAAACTATCAATTTAAAGGGTTGTTGTGAGATCCCAAATATTCCTCAATTATTTTTAAAATATTATTAGTTTTAACTCTTTTATATATAATATGAGATTAGGAGCAAATCCTTGCTCCTAATTATGATTGGTTGTTGTGATTGTGTGGTGAATTTTGGTAATGTTAAGGTGGACATTACACAGGGAGCTTCTAGTGCTATAGGAGGTCATAGACCGATTGTTGATAATTAAGAGGATGATATATCTAGACCTTGGAAGCAATTCTCTCGCTCAAATCTGACTACATATGATAGTAGTATGCTTGATGGGAAAGCTGAGGAGTGGTTGGATCGGATGGAGCAGCTATTTACTGTGGTGAGGTGTACATCTAAGAATAGGGTTATGTTGGCTACGATGCAACTTGTTGGTGAAGTCAAGCATTGGTGGGATTCTCTTAAGCCCACGAATGGAAGATCTATGGCTTGGGCAAAATTTAAGGAAAGTCGATTAGGGTTGCCATAAGGTGACATAGCCTAGTCCACCACTTATAACAATGGCTCAAGGGGTGTGATTGTTATATAAAAAGCACCTATAATGGATGTAAATTAGTAATCGATAGTAATAGACCTTTAATGGATAAATGAAAAAGAATAGATGGATGAATATAGCTATAAGTAGTAAAAATGTACTTTTGATAAAATTGAACCAAATGACTAAATTGTGCCAAATGTGTTTAAATTGGCATATTAAGCGTGTGAGTTGATAAAGGAAGCTTGTAATAAGCTGTAGTAGTGTTGAAATTCATGGGTAACCTTCCTAGTGACAGAAGGGTTGAGGTAACCAAATAACTTCTTTTGTTTGATTATTTATTATCACTGTGTGTGAGTTTGCTATGTAATGCATGAAATAGTTTTAAACTGAGCATGTTTTATAGCATTGAATATTTATTGCATAAAAAGAGATTTTTGTTAAACAAGTAATGAAATTTGTGTAATTTAGTGTGAAAATGTGTACACATATATAAAAGTAAAGTGGTGATTAGAACCTACGAATGATTCAAAAAGCATGATCATAAGGGTGGAAGTTTACCCAAGTGGAGAGGTAGTGGAGAGGTGGTGATAAGACCATATGGCATATTCTCCTTAGTACTTGATAGGGTGTGGTATTAGAGAATTATAGCTCCTTAGTGCCTTTTAAGGTGTGATGTTAGAGATTTAAAACTTTTTAGTGTCTATGTGATATGGTGGTGGAGTCAATGACATTCTATTGTGTGTATTGGGAAAATTATAGTTTGAAAGTAAGATAAAACACCTTTAGCCATGTGATTCTACTACTGAAAGTAAGCTCAGGGCTAATGAGAATGTATATTGATTTAAGGCGAGCTTATAGTTTCGTGTAGGGGTGTTTTGGAGGTTTGATCGATAGTGATTATGCTATGTGTTTTTTGTGTTAGTAAAGTGGTGAAAAATGGTGTAAAGAGGTGAAATGTGAAACATTGATATGATTTAAGTAAAACTTAAGTTACATGTTATGTTTAACAGTATATAGTCTTTACTTTCATATAGTTGCATGTGAGTTATTATGTTACTGAGATTTGTATCTCACCCTGTAGTTATATTTTACAAGACAAAGCAGTAATCAAGGCAAGGAAAAAGAGTTAGGATTGGCTTAGAATTTTTAAAGCCGTGCTAGCTTAGAGGATTGTGTAATGAACTGAAATCTTATGTATATATGTATAGATAATTTCCATAGGATTGCATGCATATTTTGAATGATTTTTATTTGTTGAAAATAAGAAAATTGTGGTAATGTTGTGAGTTTTTGGTGAATCTTAGCCCATATGTGGAAATTATGATGAAAGAGTAATTTAGGGCTAAAATTGAATTGTGAATATGTTATGGATATGGTTATGTGTGATTTTGGTAAGGAAAGGGCCAAGTATGCCAAGTTATGGTAAATTGTAATAAATTGTGAAAAGTTGAAAAATGTGAAAATTGGCCTTTAAGGGATCAAATTTTGATGTAGGTGTATATATATGATATATTATTGTTAATCAAGTGTAATAGGTCCTTTTAGACTTGATTCAAGGCCTTATATAGTCTAATGAGAGAATGGGATTGAGTTAAGTGTTTGGGTGCATGAAAGTTTTGTAAAAAGTGACTTTTTACACCGTGGGTGTCTAAATTTTGATTAGACCGTTAGATTGCTGGCTCATTAGTTAACTATGAAATAAGTTATGTGTGGGAGCTTGAATAATTTCAATCGAATGTTGCATATGGAAACAATACACGTCGAAAGTTCATCATTTTTATTGTTAAATGACAGCAGAAAATTCAAACTAGCGCGCCACGTGCATGGCGTCTCACACAGCAGTGCATGTCACAAAAAGTTTAGTTGTGTGGCTCTATGCCACATGTTGTGGCGCATGTATTACACACCACAGCATAAGCCCATTTTCTAGCCTGATTTTATGATTTTTAAGGCATGCAATGAGTGATGTGAATGCAATTTTTTCCTTTTCGCTGTATGATACTCTGATATGGTATGACTTTAGTGATTTTGCAAAACAAGTCTTTAGCTAAATCTTTTAAAAAAATTCTTTAATAACTAATTGTTATGATTAATTTGGTAATTGGATTATAACTTTCTCCGGTATCAAGCGAATATAGAAAGAGGTTACAAAACTAACCCCCTCTCCTAGTGGGAACAGTAAGTGCTGCCCCCACAGCCTTGACCTTGAAATCATCCACACCTTCCCTACTCTCATTTGCCCACCATCAAGG